TTTAAAAAAATAAAATTTTACTTAAATTAACAACATATTTTTTGATTAGAATGTTGTTTATGAAAAAATAATAGTAAATGAATATGTTAAGCTGGTTTTCGTAAAGTGTAAGTTTAGTTAAATTAAAGTATTCAAAAATTTTATAATTTCAAGTTCGATAAGAATTAGAACTCATTTTTACTATATGTAGAGGTCATATCTTGCGATCGAGTTTTCGACCACTTCTACTTCTCCAATACAATATTAATATAATAAATGAAATTGAAGCTCTCAAATATTGCGACATATTTTATGAATGCGCCCATTTTTTGAGATGTAGATTTTTATATATTTTGTAATTTAAAGCATGTAGAAGGAACCAACTGCAACAAAAGGATATAATTTAATCACCATACATAAATATATTTGGTGTTAAGAACGACTAGATAGCTTAATAAAGATAAATAATGTTTCATTGACGAATTTTTTGAAAACGTCAATCGATAGAATTGTCCATTTGTGTTATTAGTCTTGTCAATAACATACTCAAAACCGTTTAAATGATCAAAATTGGTTAATTCAGCAAAAAGCTTAAAGTTAAATCCGAGGATTAATTTTCTGCAATTCGAGTTTTTAATCTCTATATACATTAGTATATAGGTTTTAAAAACTGCACGTGCAGTTTTTTACTTCTAATGATTTTTTCATTAGGAATTAAAAACTGCACATGCAGTTTATAATCTCTATATATAAATGTATATAGAAGTTATAAACTACACGTGTAGTTTTTTACTTCTAATGGAAAAATCATTAGAAGTAAAAAACTGCACGTGCAGTTTTTAACACCTATATACAAATGTATATAGAGATTAAAAACTCTAGATGCAGAAAATTTAGGTTTTATAAATTTGAAATGTTTAGAGGTAAAAAACTTTAGGTGTTTTGAACGGTCATCACTTTTTCTTACACATGCACGAAAGAGGACATAACAGTGCCATAAAAAAACGTTACTAACCTAACAAGTATATAAAATGCATAAGCGCATTACTTAAAATTTTTGATTTTACTGGTAAATAATTTCGAAAAAGAGAAAAAAGACAAAATGCGTTTAATATTATTCTTCATTAAGAACTAAATGCTATAGAAAGAACATCATACTACGTTTCATCCCTTTTTGTTGAAAAGTGGCTTGCCATTTTTCTCATTCTTTCTGCATATTCCCTGCTTTAGGTTATCAAATTTATGTCATTTTACAAATTATTCTCCGGAATGGTCATAAAAAGTAAACTCCAAACAATGACACAAATTACATTTCAGGGCAGTTTTTTTTACGATGGTGCTGAAACGAGCACATTTTGATGAGCACACGACACAAAAAAAAGTTTCCTTTCTCTTTTTTTATATTTTATTTTGTCGAAGGAAAACTGTACAAAATTGTGATGCAAAATACTTGCTAAAAAAATTGAATTCATAAATAATGTTAAAAAAATTTATTTGAAATAAAAACAAAAGCACATATAAATGAATGATGAAGACAAGGGAGAAAATATGTTTCGTATTCTCGCTTTGAAGTGATGAAATGAAAATTGGAATTCTAAAGCCTTCATTAAATCATAATCATGAAAATGGAATTAAATGAAAGTCCCCAATCAGCTTATATATGCAGTGGTTATCTCTTCAAATTACTGTGTTTCAGATAAACTCATTATGTGGAAATTATATTTCCATTCTTTTTGATGGCTCATTTGTTCAGAATTATTAGCGTATTATGATATTTAAAAGCATTCAGTACTTTAAAAAATACTTTAAAATCAACAAAAAAAAAAACACTTACAATCGCGATTTTTGACAATCATGATATACTTTTGAAGATAAAAGCATACAATTTGGTTGAAATCTTCATAAACTCATTTACAAGTTGATTTTTATGATAAATGTAAGGACTCAAAACAAATTTTTCTAATGCAGATACTCAAAACATCAAAAACACCAATAATTTTGAAATTAACATGAAAAAATCTTTATATTCAATAAATAACAGTAAAACTATAATTGTAAGTTATACGGTTATTGTTAAAGGAATAAAAACTAATGATTCATAATCGCATTCCTAGTTATTCTTTACATTACAGAAACTCTTTTATTTACAACCCAAAAAATGCACAATTTTTGTATTATACTTAATCCTCTTTAAAAGTGTCTTTAATTACTGAAGCCTTTCTGTATTTCCTTTTTATCCTTCTATATTCTTCCATTTTTTTTTACTAATTTCTTCTTATGAAATGTTTATGTTCGCAACATGAAAAAAAAGTTATGGGTTAAAAAATATTTTGTATATGTTGTGTTTACAAGTAGGGATTATAATAAAAAGCGTTGAGGCTACATTTAATGTTGGAAGGCTTAAAAAGGATTACTACTTATAGCTGCAGAAAATGTTTCTCATCCTTTAACTTCATAACTTTTTTTCATACGTTTTTATGAGTAATTTGTTCCTAGTTCATTTCGTCAATGTGTGCTTTTAGTGATTTTAATCATAGTTTGTTTAACTAAATTGTAGAAAGACAAATGAGACATATAATAACGATAAATTCCTTAAAATACTTTTATTAACAACTGAAATCTTAAAACTTTTTAAAAAACATGCTCAAATAATGTTAATTTATCTTTCCTTTATTAAAAGACAAAATTTTGTGATCACTGTTGACATTCATACTTCACTTTTACATACTTACTCATTTGTCTAATTTGATTTAGTAAATAGTTCTGCTCCATAAAACTGCACAAAACAAATTTTTTTCTTCATTAAAAGCATTATTTTTAAACACCTTCTCATTAATTTGTATTATAAATTTATAACATTTTTCTAATGTCAAGTTCAAGTCACATTAGAAAAGCGATCAAATTAAGCAAACAAAAATGTAACTTGATTTTTTTTGTTCCAATTGTTTAAAATATAATAAAAATTTTCTTTTTTTTGTTATATTTTCTCTATTTATTGTCCTTTTTATTCACAAAATAGAGAGAATTTTAATACACAAACAAACCACATATTATCTGTTAAAGTAGCTGAATTGTGTAAAAAAACTTTTCATCTCTCCATACATATTTCTAGTATGGAAAACTTTTACAATTTCACATTTATGTTTATCAATTTTCATTGCAATGCAGACAGAATGAATATTTTTCATTGCAAACACACAAGAGAGTGAGAAAGTGGAAAATTTTGTTATCAGTTGCATAAACTTTTCCATAGCTTTTTTATTTGAGTTATTTAAACAAAAATCTAGAAGTAAAAACTTAAAATTTAAAGTACATGAGGCGCATTCTCTTACATTATAGTGTGCGCACAGCTAATGACTTTTTATAAGCAAAATAATACCAAGTAATAATTTTTTAAATTCTTAATATAAAAATACAAAAAGATGTTGAAAGAAATCAGACAATGTGTGATCAAATAAATTAAAAATCAGTATGTTTTTTGTGGACTTGTTTGCTATTGAGAATTTTCACAAAAACAAATAAAATAAAATGCATTTTTCGCACTACTCTAATGAAGAGTCAACATGGCAATTTTAAAACTCTATAAATACAAAAATTTGCATAATAATCACAATAAACAAACAGTTACCACTCAATAGTGTGCAACTGGAAATGATAATGATTTTTGTGGATACGTTTTTGCATCCGCATATAAGAGGATATTATATTTTTATTTAGTAAAATTCTATGGAATTTTTGTTTATTTTATCATTTTTGACGACATGAAATTAACATTTTTAATTTTTCATTTCCGCAAAATGACACAAAAAATTGGTTTTATGATTTCGATGAATTTTCAATTTGATACTTTATAGTTTCGTCTGGTATATTTTAACGTTATGTTATTTTGAAATGCTCAAATTATAAAAATAAAATGTTTAATTTAAACAACACATTTCAATTTCCTCACTTCAACACAATTTCAAACCATCAGTTAATTCCATACTGTGCCGATAACAGAAACTGATTAACATCCATTAAAATTGTACAGAAAATTTTCAGCTTTACATTAACTGCTTTGAAAGAGAATGAATTACAGTGTCTAATTGCATATTCAGTTGGCTCAATCATTCAATATATAATAAGTACGGCATGCCTTACAATATGGCATTAAATAAGTATGAAATTAATTTTTAATAACTGATTCTTATCGGTACAGTATGAAAAAGGAAAAAGAAATGAAAGAATTGGAAAACTTATGACTGTATTAGCTATAAACATTTAGCTCGTAAAACACATTTTAATTTTACAATAATTAAATATTATTACTGGAAAAAATAGATTAAAGTAATTCATAAAAAATGTAAAATAAAAAATCTGTCGATAAACTTGTATACTCATAAAAAATATCTAATATTCATCATTCACTTTATATGAAGGAATCTAATTAAGAATGTTGGATTTTACGTTTTTATATTCGTTTTAAATGTTACAGTCATGGTTCCCGCAGGTTATAATATTTTAAAACAAATTTTATAATCTTTGTATGAAGATTATTAAAGAATATAATATTTGTATGCATATTGTAATCATCAAAACTGAAAAGATTATAATCTTTAATAATTTTTCATACGAAATGTTAATTTTAAAATGAGACCATCCAAGTTGATGATGTCAAGCTTTATTAAAACATAATTTAAAAGATAAACATTGCAGCAACATCCGATTATTTCTATGAATAAAGTCATGTAGTTTATTTTTCTGTGGTGATCGAATGTTGCTTCTCCTGTTTTTTCATCATAAAGCTTGTTATTATTTTTTAATATTTAGTACTGTTTTCACTTTACCCACTGATATGAAATTGACGGCATTTACTTTCTGTTTTTTATGCTATAAGTAACATACTCATTCGGTGAGTGTACAACTAGTTAAAGCTGCGATTCCATTGAATGTGAACGCGTGTGACGATTTTTTTCGGATATTATTTTTAAAATATATGAGACTGAAAAAATTTTAAAGTGACCATGAAATTAATAATAATTATGATGTTTGGAATATTTTTCAAATGTTGTTATCTCCAGCGTAGGATATTTAATGGATTTGATGCAAAACCATTACAGTTTCCATATATTGTGAGTGTTCGAGGAATATTTTATACATGTGGTGGTGCTCTTTTATCAGAAAGGTAAGTAATTTATAAGTAAAAATAAAAAACAGAAAAAAGTTATAAAATCAATATCCTTTTTTTCAAATTTATTTTCGATTAGATATGTTTTAACTGGTGAGTGATAATCAAAATTTTACGAATCTTAAATTATGCAAAATAATTACAGCTGGACATTGTTTGATGGATATTGATAAGGATGAAGATGTGACAGTTATTTTAGGAGCGTATAATTACTATAACAACAAGGAGTCTGGAAGGCTTCAAATACGATCCCACAATCATTGGGTTCATGAAAATTTTTCAATGCCTTTTGCTGAAAATGATCTCGGTATCGTTGAGCTTCCATATGCTGTCAATTTCAGTGATCAAATTCGCCCCATAAAGCTATCAGTTGACAAAAGTATAGACGCACGAATAAGCCGTGATGATAAAGAGATAATTGCTGTATTGAGTGGTTGGGGATATCAGAGTGCAGATTATGAACCTGCGGAAATATTGCAAACTGCACGTATGAAACTCATATCATATGAGGATTGCATAAAATTTCAAAGTCACTTTGTTGAAAAACTTACTAGAAATCATATATGCGCAATAGGACGAGACAATCGACCGGGACATGCAGTTCTACCATGCGATGGTGATTCCGGATCTCCACTTATACTTGATGAAACTCAAGAGCTTATAGGGATTACGAGTTACGTAAAGGATGCAGAAAATGGTATTGCATTGCATTACAATGACTGTAGAACGGATATTGCGCCAGCAGTTTTTGTTCGCATACCAGCATACTTGAATTGGATCAGTGAAAAAACTGGCATGAAATTTGAATAGCGTTTGTTTATGCTGTCTGTTGATAACAGACAATAGATTTTTGTAGCTTTTGTCATTTCGTTTCTATGATTCACAGCAATTTTGAATTTTGCCACTTCTCATGGTCATCCGTACATTTTTATTGCTGGAACCGTTATTTTAGTTTGAGCTTAAAAGGTTTTTTTTTGTGAAAAAGATTGATAAGTAAAAAACCAGAAACATTAGCTTTAGCTTTCTTTTTTGTAAAAAAAGTATATTTTTGGGATGAATTTTAATTTAAACTATAAATAGTAATTAGTATAAACAAAGTTATGTTACCGTATCGCATTGAAAAAAGTGTATACCATTGAGTGTAAAACTTTTTTTCAAATACATGTATTCTATGGAAAACCATGTTATTATCAAAACTATCTATTTTCAATCTATTCTCTTAGAAAATCACTCGAAATTCAATTTAGTGTGAAACCTTCTTTATATAAAATTATATTTGAACACAAAAAATGGATCGTAATGCCATTTTATATCCATTTTTTTATAAAAGGTTCGCCTATCATTGAACATATTCATTTATATATATTAATATTTTGAGCTTACGTTCAATATTTTTTGTAATTCTCAAATATTCAAGCGAATGTAATCCCACGTATATGTGTGCATATCAAAGTCATCTGTACGAAACGTGAAAGCTTCACTTTTGGGGATTACGTATTGTGTATCTTTGTAGCTATCTATAGATCTATTTATATAGCTCCTGATATCACAATTCTGTATCAAATGACTAAGTCATTTATGTTAGTAAAATTTGATACAAAGAGTGCCAGACGACAACCAACCTTTTTCATTTTACCGAAAGGAAAGAAATGAATAAAAGAAAATAAGCAGTTTCTTGACTTCTTCCGAATGAAAACAGAAGTGATTTAAAAAAGGAAGAAAGAAATTTTGAAAATTTATCCATATTCTTTATGAGCCATAAAAAGGATTTCTTCAATCTCAATTTATAATGATTGTGTGCATGAAAGTGAAACCGCAAAACAGAATGAAGGAGAAAAAAAAACTCTTCACGTTGAATTTATTTTCACAATATCAGATTTAAATAGCAAAAAAAGACACTGACATTCAATTTGATTGATACAAAACGAATGTCAATCATTCTCTTCGACATTCAATTTATTTATTTTACATCGTTCGTTCTTCTTTTATAGATTCTAAAGCATATATAAAGAAAAAATATCATTGTCATCTGATTAAAATACATCCATATATGCACGTATTACGTAATGTGTAAATATGTTTGCAACGAATAACAAAAAGACAAAAATTAGTTCAAAATATATAAGAAAATATCAGTACGAAAACCCATCGTTTGTATTGTCAAAAAATCTTTTGATGAAAAAACTGCATTACATTCGTGTCAGAGTTTATTTCCTTCATTTATTTTCATCAACATATACAATGTGAGTCGTGTGATAAAAATTACTCTTTTAGGTACAAAGTAATTTTCTCCTAAAAAGAAATATAACGCTGTAAGTTCGCGTCGCAAAAAATACAAAACATAAGTAAATCAATATGTGCAGGCACAAAAAATTCATTTTTTTTTGTCTGCTTCATTTGCATTGATGATGATGGGAAAAAAGTCAAATGGTGAAAAAATCATAAATAAATAAAACGTATGCATACAGATGAAAAGTAAGTGTTTTTTGCATTCACACAGTACATGTCAATTGCATTTTTACTGGTTTTCATTTGTTTTTTTTTGCAAAAAAATGAATCAAATTTTATGCATTTGTGAAATAAATTTTTTCACTACACACTTCATGCTCTGTACTGCTTTGTACAAAGTATCATGTGAAATAGAACGTTTGTTAAAAATTGTGTCCAAAACTAAGGGATACAGCATAATAAAGAATAAGTGAAATATTCAATAATTTATTATTTGAGATACATTATTAATGCAAGTGGTGTTGAGGAGAGTCAAGTGGTGCATAATTTAATTTTATAATAATTTGCTAATCCAAATAAAAATTAAGAAAAATTATTTAAAAACAGATTGATTCATTTTTGTAAATATAAAATCGCAATTATCCCTATGAGGCATTTCACTAGTCACAAGATCTTGATAAGAAGTGAATATACAACAATCTAATTCACTGTAGCTTTTCAAATTAAGACTTAGACAACAAAAACAACTTAAATCATTACATTAACATGTAATTCAATTTGAATTCTGACAGCGAAATGTGAATGTGATGTGAGAATAGTTGGTTGCAAATTAGATCCAGATTTCTAGATTGTCGAAGTGTCAGTTAGACTTTCCACTTTCCTTCTTTAACTTCATTCGTCCATCATGTGAGAGTATTGCCTATAAAAATCCATAATAAAGAACATTATTACAATAGGGATGAACAACAAAAATTATGCTACAAGTTTTTTGCATTATCACCAACAAGCACTTTATTCCCACATTGTATACGATATTGTGATAGGAGAATTTGTTTTTTCTTTAATATTATTTCACATTTGATTGTGTTTCGTGCTTTTTTCATTCTCGTTTGACTAGTGGAAAATTGGAAAACTTTATTCAACACATATTTTTGCTGCCATACTTTGTTTGACGTGAATAAAAAAAGTACAAAATCTCTTCAACCACTCATTAAATCAAGTAAAATATCAGCAATCTAGCATTGGCATCCGACAAAGTGACATAATTTTTAAAGCATATATATAAAAAAAAGCTAAATTGTTTTTTATTTATTGGCTGCCACTAGAAACAACATCGATGAAATGTTCTCGCATCATTTTTTTAAAGCACATAGATCGCCCGAACAAATTTTCCTTGCAGCTTCACCAAAACATCGTATGTACATTGGTAACTTTTATAAAAGGTGAAATGTATATCTATTTATTTTTGTGTTATACTCAGAAGTGAAAGAAGCATGCGGCACAAGAGGGAGAAAAATTATTTTTATTTTTTTTTTTTAGTGGAAAAACTTTTCAAATTTCAGAAACTTGTTCCACATCAAACTTAATTAAAAAATTTTTCCTCTTTCGAAATCAACTTTATTTTTTCAAATACCGAAAAAAATTTTCATTCTTTTTTTGAGAAATAAAAGTTCAGTTCTATACTCTATTGATGATGTTTATTTTGTTGTTGAACAGAAAAAAAAACTTTTTTATTTTCCATCCGAATAAGAAGAAAGATTTTTTTTTCCTATAATACGCTAGAATGAACATGAAATGAATCAATAATTTTATTTATTGGGCGATGCTGTTGACAGCTTGAGAAGAATAAATGAATGTGCCCATAAACACCCAAGTCAATTTTTTATATTATTCTGCTTCATCGTGCTTATTCATTTCTTTCCATATTATATTTATGGCAAAATATCACATTATTACTCTTAAACCTCATCATTACTGAACACGTGTAAAAACTTTACTTTTTAAAAATCAACGCTATTTAGCGCATTTTTGGCAAAAATGGGTAATGACTGGGGTGAATCGGTTTAAAAACTCAATGTGGATATATTCACACCGTTTCATCGAAAGTCTTGCTAAAAGACAGGCTTTTTGTTTAAAAGATTACAAAACGACTTACGTAGAGTGCCCAGAACTTTAAGCTTGGTATTAACAGATCAGACAAACTACAACTCAAAGTATCAGTAAATTATAGTTTCCTTCGAGTTTTGAACGGAAATGAAAGTTTTTTGCTTTTTATGAAGCAACGGCTGTTTCTAGCTAGCCCAAAAACAAGATAGCTCTTCTATAAGCCAGCGTAGAGCAAATGTAAAAAAACCAGAAGTCTCTAAGAAGTCAAGTAATTGAAACTCATTAAGTTGCGTGTTTGCTTACAGAAAATTGTTTTTTGCAATCTTCTCAGCAAAGCCACAATAATTTTGGATATATTCTCAACCCTGCAAGGCCCTGTTTTTATGAGAAAAAAAACTTAAACAATGTGCAACTATTTTATAATACGAAGATAAGGAATAATAGAGAATTATAGACGAGTATAAGATAGAAATTAATGACTAAGGTGCTCATTTGAGATGTTACACTAAATCAAAAAAGAACAAGTGTATCGGGTAGAAACCCAATGCGGATTATATTCACACCGTCAAATCAAAAGTCTTATGGATAGACCAAGATTTGCCCAGCATAAGTATGAAGAAAGTAGGAGATATTTTTTGTTTTAACTTTTGCTTTAAAAAATTCGTAGGAAAGGAAAGTTTTTTGCTTTTTCTGAAGCAACGGCTGTTCCTACCTTGCCCAAAAACAATACAGCTCTTCTATAGAGCAGCACAGATTAAATGTAAAAAACTAGAAGTCTCTACGATGTCTCGATATTAAGATTTTTGCCGATTAACTTGCTTACTTGTTTGCTTACAGAAAGCGTTTTTTGCGATTTTCTTAGCAATGCCGCAACCAATTTGAAATCTGTTTTTTGAAAATGATGTAAAATTTTAGGCACAAACTTTTCTTCTGGGACCTTTTATAACCAATTTTGCTTCGTTTTCTCACAAAATGCGAAAAACTGATTTTTCAATCTGAACAAAACCAATAGATTCACACGTGAAAACGGTGTGAATATAAAAATTATTAAAATAACTTCATTACTCAAATGGTCCTACTCAAATGCTAAAAATTTAAATTAGTTATTCCTTATAAGAGATGATGAAGATAGTAACGTGATATTTGTGATCACAATTAAGTTTTCAATATCTCCTCCCATCTCTTTTGTCTTTGAAAATTTATAGGAACACACAAGAATGCAGATGTCTAACATATGAACTGTTTAAAACGGATGGCATTTAAGCACAAAAGATTTCCAGAATTTTTAAGGTAGAAATGATCAGTGAACTTCCCCGAAGCAAGACACACACCGGCACTTGAGAAAAAAGAAAAGTGAATTTTTGAACAAGAAAAAAAAGTTATAAATTCCACAATATTTTCAGGCATGAAGCAATCTTATAATATTCAGATGATTCAGACCGTAATCTTAATGAATTACCGATATCTTAAATTTATTATTTGTTTGCACCAGATTTAATTACTGTTTTTATTATTTATGTACATTTTGAACTGTTTCGAATAGTTTTTAATATTAAGGATATTTCATGTTTTTTAAGAATTTTTTATTTGGAAAAGTTTTATCTTGAAACATTTTGATTCGCCT